TTCACACAGTGCACTTGATCAGTCCCTCATCCACACACATAAGCCCTCTGAGGCTCAGGGAGAACATGCAAACTCCATACAGCAAGGTTCAAACCCAGAACCTTCTTGCTGTGAGGCCACAGTGCCAACCATTAGACCACCGTGCCACCAGCTTCAAATATTTCTTTCATTGGCGTTGTGATCTTGCTCGTATTAGCATATAAAAGAAGAGACAAATTGCCACCTTCCTGTTTTGTGTTTCCAGCAAAAAGCCTGTGACTCTAAAATAAACTAGACAACTTTGAAATAAAAATAACCAAAGGAGTGGGCAGAGCACTGATATTTTTAATAGCACAGTCAAATGAGAACCAGGTTACCAGTCACCACATGAAAGATTATAAACCACACCAAGGAGCTTGGTCAAAATAATGTATGCAGTGTGTACCTCATGCCCATGTTAACAAATTATAGACTTGCTCACCTCAAACTGGATGTCATGGGCTCTGTCTTCTTTGTATTAGAGGGGATTGCATCTAATTTGTGTTTCAAACTACCAGCAGAAATGACTGTTGTTCATTTTGCCCGTCTTGATGTCTTTCTGTTTGCTTTTCCCCATCTCTCTCCTCCTCCTCCCCTTCATCTGACCGTCCTCTCTAATAACACTGGGATTGGCCTCACTTCAGTAGCCATACTAGGCACAAAAAGCAGAGAAAATGAAGCAGCTGAGTTAAGGGAGAGACACACCTCAGGTCTAATTACGTGCTGGGTGTCCATTCACAACAGCCATCAGCTTTCTTTAGTTATTTATGTGGTGTGTGCTGTTCTGCCTTATTTAGTAACAGATTTAAAAGAAAAAAAGAAGCTTCACAATCCAGTACATTCTTGACAAAATAGCTTTGTAATAAACAACAGATACACTTAACTTGTAATTGGCATAGATGAGAGGCCTCTATCAAAGAACGTCATCCAAATAAGGGTGATTTACAGTCCCCATAGAGCCCCAATCCTCTTTGGAAGTTGCTATGGTGGTTTTCCAAATAGATTTAATGTGTCTTTTTAATCATGAGAAGAAGTAAACTCCACTCGGATAGGTTTGAGCTTTGCACGTCTGAAAACTTTCAAGGACTTCCCAAAACTTAAAGTTACAAAAGTTCTGTGAGGTTTCACAGGGGAGCCAACAACCTTTTTTAAGTGCAGTCACATATTCTCGCTGGCACTGAGATCTGGACTCTATTTTACCCACTGGAGTGCATTGTTACGAGTCACATTAGAGTAGCTGGTATTGCTTTCACTTTCTCATCAATGAGCTAACAGGTCAAGGTCAAGGTTCTTTATTTGTCACATGCATAGTTATACAAGTATAACACACAGTGAAATGTAGCCTGACACGCTCCTCGACATGTGCAAAAAAATTGGGGGGGGGGGGTGTAGAGAAAAAACATTATATACATATATACGTATATACATATACATATATACATATATATACATATACATATGGTATCAGTGGGATCACACTAGCCCCAGCACCAAGGAGTTCTCATAGAGCATATTCACTGTTAAAACACCCAATAGAGATGTCCAATATTGGGACTTGCATTAAAAATTCAAAAAACTGTTTAATAGGTGCCCTCTTCATGCACCATTTAGTCAAAGATTGGACCACACCCCTCTAAATCTCGACCTGTAAAATTAAGTGATTCTGTTTTGCCCTTCCTTACAAAATCTGCCCAGAGACAGACAGACGTATAAACACCTGCCATTGTGGCAGCTTCTGTTGCTGTCACCAGAGGCACATTTTCCCAAGATGACACACACACACACACAGACAAACCTACAAGCTGAAAACAATACCAGCCATGCAGTTACAGCTGGTGATAATGTACTGTAGTAATGACTATAAAGTAGTCATGAGACTAAAAACCAATGTGGTGGCGACTGTCGTGCCTGGTGTGATCCCATTATGAGATCATTTCTAGTGTTTCTTTTTTTCTGTCCCTTAGTCATCGAGGGTGTTTTGTTTTTGTTTTTTTACTTGTAAAGCCGTTCACACCAGATGATCTTTATATAAATAACATTAAAGTTTGGTTTTTTTCAATCAGTGTCAAAAAGTTTCATTTGATTCCATCTTGTTAGAAAACAAGACATAGCAGCTACTTTTACAGCTGGCAAATTATTTTTATATTCAGCCATCTAAAAATGACATTCATACACAAATAGCCATCGCACCTACTTTGCACATCAATGGATGATTGGCTCCCTGTGGTGCATCTTTGATTAGCCAGAGAACGGGATGCTCCAGTAGTTATAGAAACCGTCTGATAACCCTATCCGTCCATATATTGCATCCATCAATCCTTAAATGAAGAATTGATGGATGCACCTAACCCTAACCCCACTCATGATCCAATGTATGTCATAAAAATAAACTTAAAACAGAACAGTTATCAGTCATGTGTTACTTCAATTAATGATAACTGAGTTTCATCAAAAATATTTCCCCTTTAGCATTTGGCATTCTCCCAACAATATACTATAATCCCATAATCTAACCCCAGTCAACAAAACAAAACAGAAATTTTCTCTGGTAAAAACAAATTGTTTGTCCACATTAATTCATCCTCACTCACATGCAGTCACACATTCACTCGCATCCAGTCACACCATATATTTGCTAATGGTGGAGCTTCCCGCGTCAGATTCTCCACCCTCAGCAAAATGAGCTCAGTCATTTTTTATTTTCCATAGGAAAATATTTCTTTATGCTTTTGGACTGGATTAACTCGCATAAAATCCTTTTTACAGGGACTTACGACCTGAATTGTCCCCAGGTAGCTCTCCTCAGCCAATTGTAATCTGGAAAGCCGCCTTATATTTGCTCTTCCCGAGAATTTTCAGCGCTGTTGCAGGCCTGCTTAAATGAAGAAGAAAAGCTTCTTTTAAAAAAAAGTTGATGTGATGCTTTAAAGTCACAGCTTCTGTTGACAACTAGTCAAGCCATGTTTTGTTTTTGCTGCTCTTCCTTTTGCATGAATGCGAGGTGCAGAGATCACTCTGTGCATATGAATGAAAGTAAAGGAAACGCCTCCCCTTATTAGAGCTGTGGAAAATATTTTTTTGCACATACACAGTTGCATTCCAAGTACGTGTCGATACAAGAAATTATTTTGATTGCCTTCATTTTAGTACGACAACATTCGTGTTCTCGTTTCTCGTTTCACACTGAGAAAAAGGTGAAATGGTAAATTACTTATCACGGCGACGTCTTTCATATGATTTCTTGAATGTACTTGTATACGTGTGAGGTTATGAGCCAACTATTAGTCATTAAAGCTGGGTCAACAGTGTTTTTGTAAACAGTTAATCACACCAGCTTCACTTAAAAGAAGTCACTGTCCTGACTAGCTGGTAAACAGGATGTAGCATCTTCCCTCAGTGTGTTAGAGCACAAAAGATCTGTCTGTTATGAAGTTTGCTAGTATAACTTAAAAGGCGTTGCTATGGCTCACCTGTTTGAGCTTGTGACCCGGATGCTGAAAGCCACAGCAGGGGCCTCGGTTTGAGTCCATTGTGTGTGTGTCGTTCCCCCTCTGCTGCTTTCCCGTCCATTTCTGTCTCTGAAATGTCACAAATCAATCTTTTTGGGACTGTTTTTTTTCCCATTTCTTGAGAGGGCATTTACACACCCATAGTTAGTTTTACAATGGCGTTTGGTTTCATTTCACACAGAGTGAAGTCCGATAGCTTCAGTACAGTAAACTCAAGAGCGTCAAATGCAATGCAAAATGTTGTTCGCTGGATTCACATCCGCAAAGAAGACTATTACAAAGCAATGGTTCTGTCCTGACATTTGTATGGAATCATTCTGGAGACGATGTCTTGTCCGTGTTATTGGTTTTGAACATACTACAGCAAAATTAAATGAAGCTCGACCCACGACTGTTGACGCTTGGAAAATCTTCTCATCCTGTATATGTCTGTACCCCCCCCCCCAACCCCGTTTTAAATCAATAAAATGTTGATCACAAAAAAAACCTCAAGAGCGTTTGGTCCGCTTATCGGCCAGATACGTCTGAGGCAGGAGTAACAAAAGGAAATACAGGAAGAAGCTGCCGTGTTCTGGACTAGTCTGGACACAGAGAATTTACTTCAAGCATTTGGAATAAATCTGTGCAATTTTAATTCATTGTAGAAGCTAGTTGTGACATTTTGTCCACAGTGCATATCTGTGGTACTCTGCCACATCCTGGAATGCAAAGCACACTTGGTAATTGAGTTGGATTGAGGTAGGATCACATTTTCACCTTAAGCAAACAACTCTGGGGTTTGTTAGGACCTGGAACGATCTAATCTCCTTGGTTGGCTGTGGCTCAGGTGGTAAAGCAGGTCGTCTACCAATCAGGAGGTCGATGGATCCACGGCTCCTGTCCAGTGTGTGTCTGTGAATGTTAGACGTACAAGTTAAGCACTGTGTGAATGAGACTTATAGCAGAAAACATTTAAAAACAGAATGTAACCATGTAAGCACCAATCATTTTAATTTGAATTAGTTTTTTTTTCAACAGATCCTAATTCTAACAGTGAGTTGGAGCATCTCAAAAGCTGTGATGGCATTTAGTGCTCTGCCCAAAGAACAAATATAACTTTAAGGCTGGACTTGGTGGAGGGAGAGAGGAACTCAATATCCTGTTTTGCTTTGTTTTGCAGCTTCTTTAGGAAGTGGGTGAAAATGAATCAGATGAAACTGTATTCAAGTCCAGGCCTTCTTATTTTTCTCGCCACCACCAACTCTCCCCTGAGGACACATTTTGTTTTCATGGCCATTACACTGAATTTCCTTTATGCACTGTCATTCGTTTTTCCTGTTTAGCTTTTTTACTTCCAAGCTCTCACCTTCTTGCACGATTCAGCTCTTTGTATAATTGGACAGACATCTTCATCAACTCATTCATTATGTGCATGCGTTTTGAGAATAACAGTTATTAACCTTGTGCTCGTCCTGTTTTGTTTTTTTTCTGTAGGACTTCCTCACAGATTTAATGATGTCAGAGGTGGACCGCTGCGGGGAGAACGAGCACCTCATCTTCAGAGAAAACACACTGGCTACAAAGGCCATAGAGGAATACCTCAAACTGGTGGGACAGAAGTACCTGCACGATGCCCTCGGTTAGTGATTGGAAAGGGAGCTTTCTTCTCCTGCACGTAGACACTTCCTCTGATGTCTGTTTATCCCCCGACCTTTTTTCTAACGTCGAAGCGGAGCATACACGACACAGGTTGGGAAGGATTAAGAGCAGTGTTATAGTAAATATTAGTAAAGGGCGAATATCACCAGGTGAGCTTGTAAGCTGCCCTGCAGTGGCCTGATGGCTGTTTGTGTGGCTTTATAAAAGTGGCACGTGGAGAACGGAGCCTCAGGTGGGAAGAGGGGAGGGAGCAGAGGTGGCCAGGCAGGTGATAAGGTACGGGAAAATAGAGTTGGTATAAGGAAAAGACAAGTAAGAGACAAGCAACAGGCTGAGGACATAACATAATTAGCACAGTATCAAGCAGGTGGACCAGTGAGAGGGGCGATGATGCACTACAGGTGTGTTTTCCTCCTCTATCTAACATTTAAGTATACGTCTGCCAAACCACGCGTTCTAATATCCTTATTGGGAATCATGCCTTTCAGTTTCTCTGCCATAACAGTGAAACTCATGCTGACTGTAAGTCTCTTTTTTTCCCTCAGAGTGGACGATAAGAGAGAAAGACGGTGTTTTTCTGTTAAAGGGTGAAATTGCAATACAGGCTCTATCGATTACTGGGTCATTCCATCCCAACATGGGCCCTCTGTTCGACCGTCTCCAATTTTCGTTAATATTTTATGGTCCAAAGTTTGGACTTATGTAATGATTGCTGTGGAATCTTAGCTTTTTGCCCCTCGAGACACTTGCAGTATTTTTTTTCCACATATTGAAATCAGAGGCAACGTTTCAAGATGAATAGCTCAAACATTTTAAAGAAATATGACAAGTTGTACCAGGAAAAAAAATAGAATGTCCAAATAGAACTAAATAGAACTAAATGTAATTATCAGATAATAATTTAGTTAAATATGTGCATATTTTGAAATCAAAATAAATCATAATTAATTTTTTCTTGGTCAGATTTTACCATCAAAGATGAATGAAAATTGCATTTTTTTTAATTTATTGACTGAATATTTCAAGAGAGTCCAGTGAAAATGTCAGGGTTTCATCTTTAATTGTTTTTGAGATGTTAATGTTTAAACTTTGCCTTTGATGAATGTCACTGTGCAAAAATATGGCTTGAATGGGCTCAATGGACCGTTTTTCAAAAAAGAAATGGCTTTGAAAGATATTTTTCACAGCGGTCATTATATAAATTCAAGCTTTGGACATTAAAATTTGTATTCAAATCAGAGACGGTCGAGGAGAAAATATTCTAAAAATGTTCTTCTGAGAAGAGACAAAGCAGCAGAAGCTAATCTGTAAATGGCTCCCAGCCTTCCTGGCACCTATTTTTAAAACTTTAGATTTTAATTAATTAATTTATTTATGGTATTCTGCTAGTGTTTGTGTTCTTCTTGTCCACATGAGTGTCTCTTTCTGGCTGTTTTCAAATTGCTGCTTGTTTCCTTGCGTGCCTTTCACTTGGCTGACTTCAGACAGAATTTGAGGTCTGGAAAATGATGCATCACTGCGTTGCTTTTATTGTTTGACGTCTGGCTAACCGTTTGATGTCACTGGACCCAGGGTAGCACAAGGACGGCCAAGCTTTCCTTTTTAGACCACCAGAGACTCAAGACGCTGCTGTTCCATTTTCAGTCACACTGATTAGAGAGGAATAAAAATCTCAGACCACGGCCAAACTTCAAATTCGCTACTTTTATGTGTTGTTGCCTTTTTTTTCCTTTACGCAATTCTTCTGCACGACCTTGTGCGAGTCTGACGGCTCTTGTTGTCTTTGAGAGCTCAACTGATTATATGACATATCAACAAGGAAACATATAAGTAAATATATTCCTTAACTCTTTTTGTTTTTTAATTTGTAGGCGAGTTCATCAAAGCTCTGTACGAGTCGGATGAGAACTGTGAGGTCGATCCATCCAAGTGTTCGTCAGGTGACCTGCCAGAACACCAGAGCAACCTGAGGATGTGCTGTGAGCTAGCCTTCTGCAAAATCATCAACTCATACTGGTGAATGCTGGAGCTTTTCTTGTTTAAAAGTGTGTTTAAGTGTCTCCAGTGTGCACGCATTGTAACTTTTATCCAGGCTTCATCGTTTTGTATTATAAACACTGCTACTGAGGGGGCTTTTAATTAAGTTTTATACAATGTAGCAGCAGCTGCCAGATATGTAAATACAAACAACTGTTGTTCTAAGTGTGATTATAGCAACAGCTCAACAATGATTTAAAGAACCTGCTGAGAGGAGGAGACGCATCACATGATGAAGGAACCTCATGATTAATGTTCACTCAGCCTACAACCTTGCTACATCCAGCAGCATAGACAGTAATATGAGATACTAATACCATACAAAAATATGCATTATTATATCAAGTACACAAGTGCCGGGAATGAAGTCTTCTTTATATAACACCAGTTTAAAGTAAAGACCCTACAGTGTCAGAGTAAAAAACCCCGACAATCAGACGATTAGCTTTGAGCAGCACTTGGTGACAGCAGGAAGGAAGAACTCTCCTTTAACAGGAAGAAACCTCCAGCAGGACCAGGCTCAGGGAGAGGCAGCCATCTACCTTGTCTGAAAGTCTACATTTGGATCTCAGAGAGTAACTTCTCTCCTCTCTCTAATCACCAACAGTGTCTTTCCACGAGAACTCAAAGAGGTTTTTGCATCGTGGCGGCAGGAATGCAGCAACCGAGGTCGACCGGACATCAGCGAGCGTTTGATCAGCGCTTCCTTGTTCCTGCGGTTTCTCTGTCCGGCCATTATGTCCCCCTCGCTTTTCAATTTGATGCAAGAGTATCCCGACGATCGCACGGCACGCACGCTCACGCTCATTGCTAAAGTCACGCAAAACCTGGCAAACTTCACCAAGTAAGTTTCTGCTTTTGTTGTGTGTTTTGAAAACACCTTCTATTGTTAGAGTAGAATTGTGGACTTAAAACTCTGCTACGTTGTTTTTCCCCCGTTTCTCTTTCCTGCCCCTGTTCCTAACAGATTTGGTAACAAGGAAGAATACATGTCCTTCATGAACCAGTTCCTGGAGCACGAGTGGACCAACATGCAGCGCTTTCTGCTAGAAATCTCAAACCCAGAGACAATCTCCAACACAGCGGGCTTTGAGGGCTACATTGACCTCGGCAGGGAGCTCTCTACATTGCACTCCCTTCTTTCAGAGGTGGTCTCCCAGATGGACCAGGTACTTAAAAATATGTTGGTCATTAGCTGTCCATCAAGATCTGTGTGTGGTCAGCCGTCTGCGCAAGAGAGACAAAGAAGAGAGTGCAGGCAGGGTGGCGTGAGCAAAGATGGGTGTCAGGGGTGATTTGTGACAGAAGCATAGCCGTGAAAGGGAAGGTTTTCAAGACAGTTGTGAGACCTGCTGTGATTTACGGTTTGGAGGCAATGGCGTTGACAAAAACACAGGCGGTGGAGCTGGAGGTGTTAAGACTTTCATTAGTAGTGGCCAGGATGGACATGATTAGAAACTGGACAAAGGACGTTGAACATGGAGCTGCCAGGGAGGAGGAAAACGGGAAGGACACAGACGGAAGAAGTGAAGGAGGACATGCAGATGGTCGGTGTAACAGAAGAGGATAGGGTGAGGTGATCTGCCTAAAGGGGAGCAAACGCAGCTGATGTGCCGCTGCCCCTTTCAGGAAGAGATCCGTGAGTGACAGGGAGAAGCGCTAATGGGAGCAGCGCAGCATATTGAGTTGAGTTGGGGATGGCAGCTGATCAGACATGAATGAAACATTCTGTCACTTTGAAATTTCTTTCTGAGTGATGACTCTCCGATGTAAACATAAATCACAGCACGGCCATTGATTTAAACTTAAAATCAGGACTTTACCACAGCTGAGCAGGCAGCCTGAAAAATGGCTCGTGACGACAGGTTAACGCGCAGTTAATGGGCCACATTAGAGTCAATATTTCATAGTCCTTCTGTTGACTGACATGGAAAAATGTGTACATAAAAGCAGATTTATTGGAAATTTGGCTGTATTGAAAGACCAGCATATGTGAGCACAGAGAGAGGGAAGCAGATATAAAGCAGACGAGATTAGCTTGCGCTAAAACACAAGGGTGGAAGTAAAAACCCACAACAAAGCCGTATTTATTGGTTTATTGATTTTTTTTTTAATTTTTTTTTATTGATTGATTAAAGGTGAGATCCTGCTGCTCAGGATTTCATCTCTCTAGTGTAGATTAGTATGTTTATCCTACATCATCAGTAATTTATAATGGCATTACATAAACAGTGCGCCGGGGGAGAACACACTGAGGCCGGGGCGAGGCATGTTCTGGGCTTATAAGGACATTTCCATTAGCCGTGGTAGCAGATGGGAAGCTGGTGGTAGCAGATGTTTTTTTTCTTACTGTAGATCATTCTACCTAACCCTTTCAATAATTCAGAAATCAAAGTCTGGTTGAACCCCACCCCCTGTCCATCAGACTGCAGTTTAATTATTCGATGTGGCGTGGGGGAAATAATGTCTCAGAAATATGCAAATTACAAACTCAAACAAACTGCACTTTAAATAAAATTGAATTAACGCTGCCACTGAAGTGGTCCGGAGCAATATTTAACATGGATTACATTTAATTCTGACTTCTTATTATTATTTGCAGAGTGCAGCCTCTAAGCTGGGTCCTCTGCCCAGGATCCTGCGAGAGGTGAACACAGCTCTGTCTAACCCGTCCAGTGTCCAGATGACACCCGGCCAGTCCTCCGAGCAAATGGGCTCGCCTCCTGCTGAGGCAGTCTGCAGCATTTCCACCGGCCTGCAGAAGATGGTCATAGACAATGACCTTTCCGGGTAAGACATTTTAAAATATAAATACACTCAAATTTCTAAAAAGAGAAATGCGAAAAAAGTGCTGAAAAAATACCATGTTTGTGCAGCTGAGGTATATTTCACCACACCGTTGTGGTATCCAAAGAGTCAGCTAGTACATGTTTAAATTGCTATAAATAGAAAAATCATTCAACATCTATGCCGCAGAAAAAAACGAAGTGGTCCTGAAAGAGTCCTTTCATCACTGAACAATTAAAAATAAATAAATAAAAGGGATCTGCCAGTGACTCAGCCTTCTCCTAATGATATAGACTTGAAGCGTTTTGGAACATTTGTTCAATTTTTAGAGAGCTGAATACCCTTAAGTGTAACATATAGCGCAGACATGTCTGAGTTTGTTTACAGTTTTTAATAATGTACATCTTCTCCAGCTCCAACACTAGCAGCCAGCTCTGGGCATATTTGATTACAGGTCGGGTCTGGAATTGATTTGAGAGATGGGCTACTTGCAGGTAGTAGATGTGCTGGAAGGAAACTAATCTCTGTCACTTGCAGACTGATATCAGTCTGCAATTTCTCGTAATGCAACAATTAACTGTAAAACATTTTTGTAAATCTTATATCTGTTGCCTTCTACAGAGGCAAGTTGCATTTAATAGAAATTCACATTTGCACTCAGTAACCTTTCTGTTCCACAGGAATATAACCACAATACAAGCAGCTAGCAGCCACTTGAGTCGAGTCCCCTCATGTTGTGCTTATTGACAAAGACTCATTCAGACTGATGGCAACATGTTGGCGATCTGCGTGCATTTATAAATGAAACAGCAGTTATTTGCAGTCGGTTCACGTCAGAGTGGGACTGTCTGCAGAAAGCCTCGTACCAGGTGACCTGTGCAACTGTCATGTGGTCACAGAATATAACAATGAAATATATTCACCAGCCAGAAGGTTGACATGTGTGTTTTTACTTGTGTGAGTAAGATATTAGCTTGCTCTGAATCAGGATGTAGTTTTATCAATGTGAGTGTGTGCACTAGTTTTACTTTGAGCCGATTTATTGCAAGTTTGCTTGGCTAATGTTATCACAGGACCCTGGTACATGAGATGAGCCATCTTTTTCATAGTATTTGAAGAGTATTTTCATTTATTTAATAAAATATCGATATTTGTGAGCCTTTCTCGATACAATATTGCAGAGAGGCTCTCTGTTGAATTGAAGTTGTCAAACCTACAAAAAACTAGTTGTTTTTTGGGCCATAACTCTCTAAGTGTTGGCCAGTTGTGACAAAATCGTACACAAATGTCTATGGATAGGACACAATTCCAAACTTCACTGATTTCCGGAGCCACGTAATCTTGAGGTGGTGATGAGAGTTGAGTGTCAGTGTCTTCTCGCGCTTGGCAGTTTTGCCGAGTGCTAATGTTTGCCAGGTGAGGCAGCGACACAGTGAAAAGTGTCACCTCTGCTTGTTTACATCAGCCCGATGAAATCCTGTTTACTTTCCAGTGGATGAATACTCACTCAGACGGCACCTTGTCTCGCTTATCCCCTTGTCCTCTCACTCGCTGCCAGAACAATGGCAAGGTGACACTTGAAAAGATTAACATAAAAGCAGAGGGACCATCACCAGAAAATGGCTCAGACAAATGAAAAAAAAAAATCCAGCGTCTCAGGCGAAGATGAGGAGCATGAAGTGTCAGAGAGACGGTATCATTACGCCTATCAGGCATCTGGATCAATAGAACTAATTAAGCGATGTCCCTGTATGACCTGATGTTAGAGCCCTGCTCTTGTTACTTTATCACAATAACTATTTGCTCGTGTGTGTGTGTGTGTGTGTGGTGTAACCTCACGAGCGAACTGTGAGACTGAAATTCAAACGAGCTCGCTGCCATTCTGTCTTAATTGCTTCTCATCCACCAAAAAATAGGATGAATGTGTCAAGGTTTAGAAAAGGAGAGCGAATGAGCAGAATGAAGAGGAGAAAGGAGTTAAGGGAGGGAAAGATAATGGAACGCTGGGAGAAGGACACCGAGAGCAGGAGAGGAGCGTGATGTGAATGATAGAGATTATTGGAAGATAAGTCACATCTGTCAAGGTAATGGTCTTCTGGCAGTGAAGCCTCCATCTGCTATCAGAAGAAATGTGAGGGGACGGCTGAAACAAATCGTGTTTTCCTAAAAGATTGATTTATTGGATTCTCTTTGATTAGATGGTTTTAGCCCATTTTAACACTTGGATCCACTTTTGTGGATACTTTAAGACACATTTTATTTTTGCTCTTTTTGACCTCATGTTGACGTAGATGGATGGTTATCGTTATGGCTTCTGATGTGCCTCTGTTTCAGATTGGTCGACTTCACTAGATTACCATCACCCACACCAGAAAATAAGGATCTGTTCTTCGTGACAAGGAACTCAGCTATCCAGCCTTCCCCTGCACGCAGTTCAAGCTACTCTGAGACGAATGAGCCAGACCTGGGCATGGCCAATGGCAGCAAGAGCTTGTCCATGGTAGACCTCCAGGACCCCCGCATTCTGGATGGTGGCACAGTTCCCGGCTCCTCAGATGCTCTGGGTGAAGGCCCAGCTTCCGGGGCAGGCTGGTCAGCCATAACCTCACAAGGCAACATCCCCGGAGGTCCCACCATAAGGCGGCCAGGCCAGACCCCCACCACCCCAGGCACGGAAAGCACTCCTGGCCGACCCGCCCAGCTGCTAGCCCCGCTGTCCTTCCAGAACCCTGTCTACCAGATGGCGGCCTGCTTGCCCGTGTCCCCGAGGGGACTGAACGACTCGGGTTCAGAGTGCCACAGCTCGGTGAGTTCCCATAGCAACAATGAGGACGGGCCAGCAGGAGGCAAGCACTCCTTCTTGAACCACGGCGGAGGGGGCGGGGGGAGCAGCGGGGACGAGTACACCAGGCGCTCTGGGGAGTTCAACCGCCGGCAGCTGTCCCTCACGGAAACACCGCACCAGCCCGGCGTCCCCAGGCAGAACAGCGCCGGCCCACAGAGGCGAATAGACCAACCGCCACCTCAGAACATTACTCGTGGCCGCACCCCACCGAATCCGCTCAACAGCGGACCCTACCCCCGGCCCTCCTCCGGCAGCATGATGACGTCATCGCCCGACTGGCCCGGCAGCGGGGCTCGATTACGGCAGCAGTCGTCCTCCTCCAAAGGCGACAGTCCTGAGACCAAGCAGAGGGCTCAGCACAAACAGGTACCGCTGCATGCAGCGCGAGCTGCAAACGTAAAATGCACAACTACTCGGTCATGTGAGCAATCTTCAGCACAGCCAGCTATAGCTGCCTCACGGTATTTAATCACTTTAAATTACAGTAATATACAAATTTGCTGTTACAGAACACCCATTTATGTCATGCACGTCAAAACGGGCTGCGTGGGTGCTCGCAGACGCTGCACATTGTGCCCTAATGAACTATAGTCACTGTGCATGTAATAATAGTAATTTGCATACAGGCAGCTCATCACCTCACCACTGTTTTACTGGTTACGTTTAATGGGTTGAGAACGAGGGTGGCGGAGGCACAATTAGTATCTTATTAACGAGCAGTATGTGCTCAAACGTGCTCTCTCCAGACAACGGGAAACAGAGTTCGTGGATACAAACAGTTACAGTAAATTGCAAAGTCATTATTGGAAAGTCAGGACTTTGGGGTGTAATCAGAAACACTAATCAATTTTTGCCCCAGGCAAACTGGCTGAAGGGGAGAACATCTGCATAATAGCTGTAATGCTTTGCTCTCCCCAGTGTGCTAAAAGTCTACAGTATCGCCCCAAGACTGACTGAATTAATGAGAGCAGCAAAACAAAAACTAACAAATTGAATTTGTAGAGGGCTCACTCACAGCTATCATTAAGCAAGACGACTTTAATACCAGTGTGTGTAGATTGATGGATTGATGCATTAAGTTCCAGGCTGGGAGTGTAGCTCTAGGAATGCTAATATTTATCAGTCACTTTGCGACTGTGGTCCAGCTATAAATACACCGATCAGGCATAACATTATGACCATCTGCATTATGTCCACTTTTTGCTCCCAAAACAGCCCTGACCCTTCAAAGCTTGCACCCCTCTAGACTCCTGAAGGTGTGCTGTGGGATCTGGCACCAAGATGTTAGCAACAGATCTTTTGAGTCCCGTACACTGTGAGGTGGGACCTCTGTGGATACTTCTTTGTCCAGTTCTGGGGCGAGGTTTTGGAGGCCAAGACAACGCCTCAAAGTTGTTCCTGAACTATTTTTGCTTTGTAGAGGGCGCATTATTCATCTGAAAGAGTGCACATGGTCTGCAACAGTGCTTAGGTAGGTGGTAACATCCACATGGATGGCAGGACCCAAGGTGTCCCACACTGCCTCTTCCAGCTAGCCTTCTTCCCATAGTGCATCCTGGTGCCAGGTGTCTCCCCAGGTAAGCGATGCACACTCACCTGGGGATGTAAAAGAAAATGTTGACTCGTCAGACCAGGCCATGTTCTTTTATTGCTCCGTGGTCCAGTTCTGATGCTCGCATCAGTGAGCCTTGGTCGCCCATGACCGTGTCACTGGATCACCACTGTTCCTTCACTGGAGCTCTTTTGATAGATACTGACCACCGCACACTGGGAACACCCAGTCCCCATGCTTGCCCGTTTTTTTCTGCTGCTAACACATCAACAAAATGATGAAGACATAATCAGTGTTATTCACGTCACCCGTCAGTGGTCACAACGTTATGCCTGATCTGTGTTCCTCAATTATCTGACTTTTACACACATGGCACCAAAAGATGAATCCTTATGTTTTTCTTTCCTTAGCCATGCTAAATATCTGAAAATGGACTGCACAGTTTATAATAACATTACCGTATTTCCCGGACTACAAAGCGCACCTGAATATTAGCCGCACAAGCTAAAATCAGGGGAAAATCCTGTTTTGTACATACATTAGCCGCACCTGACTAAAAGCCGCAGGTGTTTCAATGTTGACTTATCATATGTAAGAGAATATACACAAAGGGAATTGTCAGGAAAGAGATGGCTGTTTGGAGACACACCCCTTTTATTAATATTTTTGAAAAACAAGTTATGGGTACATATTTGCACATGTAGTACATAACAGTAACCTATAGCACACCAGGAAAATAGATTCGGCCTACCTTTTAGGCTCAGGTGCAGTGACACGGCTTTAACAAGAAGAAAAGTCAGTCATTCACCACCATCTTTCTCTTCTTCCTGCGCACTAAAACCACCAAAGTCCTCTTCTCCAGTGTCGGATACTAACAGGCTCAGGATGGCTTCGTCATCCACTCTCCGCTTCTCTCCTTCGTTGTCACTTTCAAAACCAAAGAAATCCTCGTTGTCAGTGTCAGAGTTGAACACCCTAAGAAGGGCCGTGGCAGTGTCCTCCTCTCCATCATGCAGCAGTCCAGCCCTTCAAAATCCGTTGGTGATCGTGGATGTTTGCACACTTTTCCACGCTGTCAGAATCCACCGGTGGAGTTGGGCATAACTTGCTTTTTGCAAGTTTATCGCCGCTCATCATCCACGACTCCCGCTGAACGCGTAGCGCTACTTTGAAGTTTGTTTTTCGCGCTACTTCGTACGGCACTACGTTGCCTGGCGGACGGACATGTGACTAACATACCACTCTTGAACCCAGATCCTTCCGCCAGGCAACGTAGTGCCGTACAACAGCGGAACAAACAAAACAAATCGTCTTACGATATGACAAAAATCATGGAAAATCCATAGAAAAGCCGCACCTGACTAAAAGCCGCAGGGTTCAAAGCTTGTGCAAAAAGTAGCGGCTTATAGCCCGACAATTACGGTAGATGTTTTGTTGCTACTGCTACTGTGGGACAGTATAGTGAAGAATCATTAATGAGAACACGAAAGCCAACAGCTTAGTAAAGTTTCACTCACATCACATGTATAAATATGTGCAGTTTGACGTGTTTAATTCAGATACGTTTTCTCTCAAACTGCTTAAATGCAAATGAGTGTCTGACTAAAATTATTATTATTATTATTTTTAAAAAGCAACAACAAACAAAAAACCTCAGCAGATAGTAATGTTACATGACTGCTAGCCTTTGCCTCAAGGTAGATTTCGGCGCAGGTATTGAATCTTACAGTGTTTACTTTCCCTTGCTGCCAGTGTGACACTATAGCTGCTCTCACTCCCACGTGTTTAAAAACCTGCTTCAGAGAGCGTGTGCTACAGGTTTGCGTGAGCCTGTATCCATTCCACCTGCTGCTTTCAGTCCAGATGAGTCGATGCATTTCAAGCTTCTTTTGTTTTTTTTGTTTTGTTTTTTTTTCTGTTGTTTCTGTGGTGATATTGCAAACTCCCTCCTCCCCCTCTCCCCTCCTGCTCGTCACTTGCTCTCATGTATGTGTGTGTATGTGTGTGTGTGTGTTTTGTGTTGGTTTTACTAGGCCCCCTCCCCAGTGAACCCCAGTGCGTTGGACCGCACAGCAGCCTGGCTATTGAATATGAATGTGCAGTTTTTAGACCATGAGGGGATGGAGCCCGAGTCACTGAGAAACAGAGAGGATCTAACTCAGGTGGAGAAGGTAACCTGCCATCCGACCCCCTACCCCCAGCACCCCCCCTCCCCTCTCCTTTTTCACAAACCACCACAACCTTCAGCCCTGACACCCCCCACTGAACTGTCCTTTCTTTTCTTTATCACTCACACACACTTCCCTTCCTGAAAAGCCCCCCTTCTACACTCAATTACCTCATGATTTTTTTTCTTTATTTTGGGGGTTTTATTTTCTTATTTAAACTTTGCCCTTGTCTCTGAGCCAAATTGTCACAGCAAAAAGCCACAGTGTGCATATTTCCAACATAAAAGTAAGGGAAATGGCTTCATTTTGTGCAAAATAATACAATTGAAAAAAACTGACTTTTTGGTGATAGTCCAGCTGTTTATCTGCGATGTTTTTGGACATTTATGCAGCTGCGGGAAAATCATAGCTACAGCAGGAGGTAGTTATCATGAGCAAATAATTGTGAAGCTAAATATAGCAGGCAAGAATATCAACAAGCTCCAGTGCTGACAGCAGCGGCTTCATTAATCTCATTTTCTTGATGAATGCGTTAGGCTTTTTAGTAAAATCCGAAAAGCTGTGAATATTAGAGTATATATTATTATGCAGTTCTGTCACATTTAAAAAGCTAAACTTTGAAAATAACTAGAAATGAAGTGTGTGTGAGAGTTAAAATCTCCCTTCACCTCCAGAAAAAACCAAAAAAATGTCCCCTTAATCCTTTCTGGCTATGTTTAACACAGAATTTATTGTCCAAACCAGGTGTGTCCGTGTGCATGTGTGTGTATCCACATGCAGCATCCACACAGACGTCTTGCAGCTTGTGTGTGCTTGCATCGGTGTGAGAGACGGGGACATAAAGAGGCTTTTTGCTGCTTCCTCTGCCTACGTTCGCTGCTTCTCTGCTGAGCTACCTTTACAGCCGTTCACTCTCAGCTTCCATTCTTTGGTTGGCTTGTCGCATGTCCCACCCACCCTTCTTCTTTTTTCTTTTTCTTTATGTATTTTTTTGTAAATCCATGATGAATACAAACCTGTCATTCCGGCGTAGCTCATGCGTTATGGAAGCCAGCAGCCCCGGCAGGGAGAGCGACCAAAGAAGGCAATAACTTCAGTGTTAACAAAGAAAGCCACAGCCACCTTAAAATAGCAGAGCCGCTAACAAGACAGGAATCGTTCGAGAGTGGCTTAGACGCTCCTGCAGCTAATGGTCTATACAGTCTTCACTATACGGACATAATAGACCCATGTAAAAAATAAATGCTACGTGTATTTTTACTTAAATAGAGCGTTTGCTGACTACCTGCACAGTGTGTGTTTCAATATAACAGATACGTTTACATTTTGTGCTCATTTTGTTCTCGATGGTTAATTTAATTTGTGTCAACGGTATCCTGGCAATCTAGTTAGTAGTGTGAGTATCTAATCAATTTGATTAATGAATCTCTCCTGTTAGGATCACTCAATGCTCACTCCCCCCAGCACCTGAAAATGATTTTGACACAGAAGGAAAAGTAGGTTAGAACATCAGCTTGGTCGAAAAATGTAGATTTAAAGTTTCACATGCTATAAGAATAAGAATAACTTTATTTATCCCGAGGGAAATTCTTTTGTCATGTACATGCTCAAAGCAGCAGGAGAGACAGAGGAACAGATGAATAAGATATACAATATATACAGTAAGAATAGTAGTATACAGTAGGATAGTGCAAGACATAGTATCAAATAACTCTAACGAAGTAATATATATAACTATATCCTGGTGAATAAATAACTTAACTGTCAGTGCAGGCGATTCTACAAAGTGACAAAGTATTGTGCAATAGAATAAAGGGAGTAGCAGCATATGATGGGGGATGAAACAAATATTCAATAAGGTACTGTTGGGTAATATTGAATTAGAATTAGAATTAGAATTCAACTTTATTGTCATTGCACATGCACAGGTACAGGGCAACGAAATGCAGTTTGCATCCATCCAGAAGTGCTTTAGTGATATAGATATATTACAATATATATTAGCAATAATATAGATATGTGAGTATATTACAGAAATGGGTCTATTATGGTATGTTATAATGTACACGGTATGAAGTATGTTGTGAATATTCTATAACTATAAGTATGTACAGGCTGTAGTGAGTACAAGCTATGTACAGGATATGGACAGGATATAAATATGAAAAACTATACAGAATATGAAATAAATAACTTTACAGAATCTGGGATATACAGCTATACAGAAATGGGAACTGTGCAAGTTGTAAACAGTTGTAGGGTTAAAAATTATCGTATGTACAGAATGATTATTTACACAGAGCTATACAGTAGTGCAGTTAAGATAAGTGAGATATAATTCCTACAGAGGCTATATAAAGTGCTAGTGGTGCACAGTCTGAAAGGGAACAGAATAACATTGGTAATAGTCTCAGGAAAATCACCTACAGAGTGAGGAAGAGTTATACAGTCTTATTGCCACTGGTACAAAGGATTTACTGTGGCGGTCAGTTCTGCATTTCGGGGCAATGAGGCTTTGGCTGCGTTTGCTCCGATGGTCCACCATGGGGGCATGCATGGGGGGGGGAGGGGTTGTCCATGATAGAAAGAAGCTTTTTTAGCATTCTCCTGTCAGACACCACCTCCAGGTTCTCAAGTCTGACACCCAGGACAGAACCAGCCTTTTTAATCAGTTTGTTCAGCCTGTTGGCATCAGCTGTCTTCACCCCACTTCCCCAGCACACAGCTGCAAAGAACACGACGCTCTCCAACACCGAGTGATAGTTTACAGTCCAAGCGTACCCCCAGGTACCGGTAGTCCTCAACGATCTCCACATCAGCCCCTCTTATGGTGACAGGGTTAGGAGGAGGAGCCTGCTTCCTAAAGTCCATAATCAGTTCTTTTGTCTTTGTGATGTTAAGTTGTAGGTGATTTAGCTCATACCACTCGACAAAGCTGTCCACCACACTCCTGTACTCCTCCTGTCCATCCCTGATAAAGCCCACAATGGCAGAGTCATCCGAGAATCTCTATACAGTCGCGTGCAGAAATCTTGAGGCATCCGTCACTTGTTTATATTTTGCTTCCAAACTGACCTATGACTCATTCAAGCATAAATACGCAGCCTGTTGCAAAAACACATCATTTTGTTCCAATTTCTTCAGTTTAATCTACATGAAATGCCAAAGACGATACAAATGGCATTTTTTTGCACCAACACAGTGATTCCCACTAGCCCAAACCTGATCATATAACGACACGGTGTGCAATATGTTCCTAAAAAAATGAGCTAACTGGATGTGGAGGACAAGGCCTAAAAACTATCTACTAGCAGATATACAGTATCTGAAACTCCTTAAGAAATAGGGTGAAAAAACCCAGCAAAGACCTGACACAGGACCTGAGACCTTTACACAGTACTGTAAAACTGGTCTTGCCTAAGAAAGTACGGGGGCTCAAAGTTGCTGGAAGAAATGATGCAACGTTTTGACTCAGGGACTGAAAATATTTATAGTATGTATTTTTTTTCAGGGCTGCATTAATTATACTAAATTCAGTTCAATTCAGATTTATTTATATAGCTCCAAATTACAACAACAGTCACCTCATGCCACTTTATATTGCAAGATAAAGATACAGAGAGGACCCCAACAATCAGATGACCCTCTATGAGCAAGCACTTGGCGACAGTGGGAAGGAAAAACTCCCTTTTAACAGGAAGAAACCTCCTACAAAAACAGACTCTTGGTTTTTAACTATGCTGGTTAGTCTAAAAACCACAAAATTGAACAAACCTCCTTCCAGTGTTTTCCGTTGGGCTTCTATTTTGACTTAACTGTCCTGTGAGAGCTACACAGATGTCAGCAATAATAGAAATATAACCCAGGAATGCCATCAGGCGTAACATCAGGACAACACTTGCACAGATGCATCTGTCCAGATCGCCTTTGTTTCCCGAGCTCTCTCTTCTTCTGGTCTGTGTTATCAATATTCATATGTGTTAATTTTTTTTTAGCCTGCTTGAATATCAGATGCACATCTGCAAAGGGAGACAGTATGACTGAAATAAGTCAGATCTTCTTTGTGTCTTTGGCTGAAATACATCAATATTTAGCGGCGCTTTGCGTTGCAAAGGCACAGGGTTATATTTTAGTAAAATCTTCATGGCGATAAATATTCAAAAACAAAACATTACGTGTCAAAATAGCTGCTTGAACAAATGTTCTAACCCTTTCGACACATACAGAGAGAGAAGAGGATGATGAAAGGAGGTGATTTTTTTCTTTTTTTTCTGTGGATAGCAGAAAAGGTTTGACAGCTGCTACAGCTGCTTGATTTTCTTTGGGTTCGATGGAAAGCGAGAACGCCGGTAAGAAGACAGCATAAGGAAAACATTGGGTCGATGTTTGCTGCATTTGAAGCAGACCAGTGCAGGGACCGAGGACAGAACAAAGGAACTTCAGATACAGCAGATGTCATTTGTTCTCAGGGGATCTAGTGACAAGAACATCTGGGATATCAGAGATGAAGAGAGAAGTGGAAAAAGGGTAGAGCAGCCGATGAATCTATGGAGGTCACTCGTACTGCTGGGAACAAGAGGGCTGATGGGGAAAATATCCCCATGGAAAGCAGTAGTGTGACATGGGTAAATAAGAGTGAACGGGTACAGAGTGAGCGAAGTCCTCGCTTTGTAATTGGATCTGATTGTGCTTGCACATAGGGGTTCATCTGATTGAGGGGTTTCTCTTTATTATTGTAGGGCCTTTCCTTATAATATAAACAAGGCGACTATTGTTGTGATACGGCATAATATAAATAAAATTATATTATTATAAATTAGCAGTGAGGCTTGAGGAATGGCAATGTCGGAGGTTCTGTCCACAGGTTTAGGTCGTGTTTGTAGTTGGTTTCTCAGTGTGTGATCTTTGATGTTTTAAGCGCACAGGCTTAAAGACTGGTTGGTGACTGCCTTGGCAACCGGCAATCATTAGGCAAAAACGACTGGATGCAAGTCCAAGAATTAGTCACTAGCAGGTTGCCAAAAATGTTGCCCATCCCAGCTTTAGACTGTTTAGACATCAAAAAATGTTTGATTCCTCTACTTGTTTCCTTTTCTCTGACGCATAGGCTGTGTGTTAAAGATGGCCATAGCTGCTGAGTCTTAAAGCCAATATAAGCCTTAAAACTGCAATCTTTCTAATCGCCAGCAGGGGGCGAATCCCACTTTGAGCATGTCTGATTCTAAAAATAAGTGTATGGGAAAACGGGCTTACAGCCCACTGTTGATTTTATGAAAAAGTTTCAGAGCTATATGATGTCATGGTGGCTACATCTGTCTTTTATATGCAGTCTACTTGCTGAAGAGAAGTCTCTGCTTCACTGGTTGCATCCTTTTCTTATCACCTCCTCTTTATTCAAAATTCCCTTTTTCCTCCCTTCTCTCTTGCTTTGATTTTTCTTCCTTTTTGCCAGTTACATGTCTCAGTAGGTCATTGGTTTCAGATCCAGAACAGAGGCTGCCTTTGGAAACCTTCTAACACCACTTAGTATTTTGGGGGGCAATAAAAGCTTTACTGGGCTCGTCAAAGGCACCGTGATGTCAGTCAGTGTTTTTCATGACATTCCATATAAAATGTCCCACAGTAATTCCCTCTAGACCAAAATTATACTCCATCTCAAACACAAAGCAGCACAGTCCCAGGTCTGATTGAGAGATTGCCGTTTTTTGTTCTCGTCTCGTGGTAATGAAGAAGGGGACCCCGCTGCTAGGGCTGATGATAACGTTGATAACAAAACGCGATGATGAGAGTGTCCTCAACGCTCCGCTTCTCTGTTCAGTACCAGCAGGAGATCGCGGTGCTGCAAGAGAAACTGCGGGCGTCGGTGCAGAAGCTGGAGGAGTACGAGGCCCGTCTGAAGGGTCAGGACGAGCAGGCCCAGAAGGTGCTGATGGAGTACCAGGCCCGGCTGGAGGAGTCAGAGGAGCGCTTGCGCAGACAGCAGGACGACAAAGACCTCCAGATGAAGAGCATCATCAGCAGGCAGGGGAAAAGAGGAAGAAGAGGCAGATTTGCTGAGATGTATTTTGGGATGCAGCGTTTCACAGCCCCTCTAACTCTGCCCTGTCTTTGTTTATCTTCCCAGGTTAATGTCGGTGGAGGAGGAGCTGAAGAAGGATCATTCTGACATGCAGGCGGTGGTAGACTCTAAACAGAAGATCATCGACGCACAGGTCAGTCCACCGTAGCGACCCCACCGCGGGCTGCGTATGGCTTTGTGGATACTTTTCATCTGCGCGTTTTAAATTTGTATGTGCTGTCACTTGCTTCTCCTACATGAGGAAACAAAGGGTCACTGAAATACAAAGAGATGTTTAATTCATAGCTGTCTAGCTGTGGCATTGACAAGCTTGGATGGCTGAGCAGAATTTCTCAGCTCCCTCCCACTCCTCCTTATAAAACAAAAGTGTCTTATCTGGTTGTCTGTCAGCATGTAGCACCTCTATAATCCACAGTGGTTCATATTTGTGTAAAATTGCATGAAAATCTAACTTAAAAGAAAAACTGTTCTTTTTGAGCATTTTTAAGGAATTTTGAATGTTTGTCGTTGGGTTTGTAACTGTCACCAGAGAATGATTGTGCAGGTATGAATTTTACCGGCTGTATAAAAGGATTAAACCGTCCTGCTTGTGTGTGTGTTAGAGCTGTAAGTGCAAACACCAGCACACAATTAAGAGCAAATCTGCATTTTTGTAGCTTAGGTGTTTCACAGCGTCTTTGACAAAGAAATGCAACTGATGTTTACACAGACGCAAACATGCATTGGCAAATAATCTCTGTCACACACACAGTAATGAGAGTTTGCATCTACAAACACGTGCGCTGCAGTAAGGCAATGAACTGTCAGCCTCGGTACACAAGCGCAGATAGAAGGCAAATAAAAAAGGTCATTGCAAAGACGGGGAGTGAAGACTGCTTTAGTGGACCGGGACAGGAAGTTGATGTATTTTTTAAAATGCAGTTTTTATCTGCGTTAAACTACACAGAGTACACTTAAAACTTCACCACAGGAGATCAGTCAGGCCTCGTGAACGGGGCGTGTTTGAAATTAGCCATTTACAACAAAAGACTGTATGTAAAAGATGGACATAATCACAGTGATTCTACCCACTGGTTTGTGGATTTGTGTTTTAAAGCCTCTAGCAGCATTAGCGTATTTGGCTGCTGGCAGGTTGGTCTTTTGGAGCCAAAGACCACCATATTTATAGACGAGGGTGTTAGTCAGTGCTAGTTTAGTTAGCAAGCTGCATCCATAGTCTTCAGCTTCACAACACAAACACATGCTAATAAATGCTTAATAGCATACAAAAAACCAAACTAAAAAATTTCTACTAAAACTGAATGACAGTCTTGGTCTTTATAGCCAGTCTTCCTCCCCTCAGCCCCAACTGGTCGCCACAGACGGCTGCCCCTCCCCAAGCCTGGGTCTGTCAGAGGTTTCTTCCTGTTAAAAGGGAGTTTTTCCTTCCAACTGTTGCCAAATGCATTCTCACAGGGTGTAACCTGATTGTTGGGATTTTCTGTTATTTTGGAGTCTTTACCTTAAAATATAAAGCGCCTCGATCCAGATGGGAAGCCTACGCAGACAGTTAGCAGCCTAGTTAGCACGTAGCTGTCACTCAAAGCAGCCACACCCATGTCAATCTAACCCTAAACCTTAATAAAATATAAACATGACAGTTAGTTTGCAGTTTGTTTGCACATCAGTGTCAGCTTCACTTTACCGCTCATTTAAAACAAGCTCATGACATTAACAAAGCTTGGTTGTAGAGCAGATATCAGCAGGTTAGGATGGGGACGAATAAGAACGTCACGTTTCTCCTCCAACTGATGAGGAAGCTGTAATATTGGAATTTTTTCCCGGGTCTTACTGTGTTCATGTGCATTCACAGGAGAAGCGCATAGCATCACTGGATGCTGCCAACGCCCGTCTGATGAGCGCTCTCAGCCAGCTGAAGGAGCGCTACAACATGCAGACGCGCAACGGCATCTCCCCCACCAACCCCACCAAACTGCAGATCACGGAAAACGGAGAATTTAGGAACAGCAGCAACTGCTAAGAAAGACCCGGCGTCTGCCCCGAGCGAGAGTTGACCGCCCGAGCGTGTACAGCTGTTCAGCGCGTGGATGTCTACGTGCATACGTGGATGCATGTCTGTTTGAAAGACTGCGAGACTGTAGGCGTGTGCGTGCGTGAGTCTGTTTTATAAGCCAGACGTTTCCTTTTTTTCTTTTGTTTTGTTTTGTTGGAGACAGTGTAGGAGTGAGGGCGCCACTCTTTTGAGGGGCCAGCCAGAAAAGGCAGAACTTCAACGCTGACGGACAGATCACCAGACGGCCTTCATTTATGAGGGTGATGGCCAGAGGAGGTGGGGCGGAGCTTGTGTGTATATATAGAACTCGAAGCTGTTTGCCAATGGACGCACGTAGTTTGCTGGGACAATTCACGCCGCTGTCAAAGCCTGGGACGAACCACTATATACCCAAACACAGTGACGACCGCCAGACACGGTCACCCTCGCAACCCTCCTCTCTCGTTCTTCTTCTCGTCCTTCTTGATGACCAGGTGGATCCACTTCAAAACCAACAGCACGTACTGAGGATTATCACTTTAGTTTCTCGAGAGGATTACTAGTGCTTTATTTTAAAGAACCAAATAAGAGCTTATTAAAAGAAAATTGATATTTTTAATCCAAAACAATCTACGTTTCCCTTTCCGCTGCCGAGTGTGTGTTCCTGAGCATCCCCTGACCAACCCCCTCCCCACCCCCCTCCTTTCCCTACGTAGTGCACTTTGCGAACAGCTATTGGTACATGAAAGGCCTTAAGTAAGGAACACACCTCGACTTTCTCCCACATCTCCCCAGCAGCTTTTTTTCTGCAAAAAAACAAACAAAAAAAAAAAAGTTATACTGGCACAACTCATACTGTGGATTTGTAAAGAAACAAACGTGTTACAGATGTATTATAAACACTTAACTAAATGAATTCTATGTGATACTATATTCATGAAATTTTAAATAGATGTATGCAGTTTTTTTTCCTTCTATAGATTATACACACATATACCTATATTTGATAATCTCAAATATAAAAGCAGCCCTTTATTTCCGAGTTTTATTTTTCTTCTCTTCCGATGGAAAGACTGTCGCGTGTAGCTTGCTTTGGAGCCCTGGAGAGAGGGAGGCCACGCTGCCGAGCAGTCGCGAGCACCTCGGTCGTCCTTCAGAGTAATCCCACGACGCGTAACCCTTTACATACGGCGCGAGAGACGGGAGCGATCTGGTCTCACCCGGTGCTCATCGCTGCTCTTGAAGGCAAAGATTATCAATCATGAGTTCTGTGCGTGGTCTTTTTCTGATTTTCTCTAGTTGCACAAGAGCTATTGAGAGATGCGCTTAAACGCGCTCGCTCATACTATACACTGGACTGATGAGCCGTTACAAGGCGCGCCCCCTACACCCCCAGTCCTGACATTTTTTGCGCTCTCGATGCTTTATTTGTCCGTGGTTATGAAGTATGCTGCATCCAAACTGTGATCCCAGTGACATCATCGTTGTCTCGCTTTTTTTTTTTTTCCTTCTCCCCCCTCTTACTCCCACCTTTCTTTAACTTGTTCTTCTGAATGTGAAGATGCTAACTCACAGTTGGTCTTAACACAGGGTTTGGTCCTTTTAATCCCTCCATCCATCCCAACCATCTCTGTATTTTGGATATTTTTGTAGCTGTTTTTCTCACTCTGTAACAAACTATACATCAAGCGTGAGGCCGCGCATGCTTCATCCTTGCTCTATAGCCAATAGTAGCGTCACCATTTGTTTTCTCTGATTGCTAGCTGAACGATGATGATGGTGATGATGATGATGACGAGAGGCTTTTTTCAGACATGACGTGAATATATGATGTGTAACTGAGTGTATTAAAAGGCTGGGCAGCCTGGGATAGTGTAAATAAAATGCTCACACTATTTTTACCTAATGTTAACAGAGCTTTTTGTAAATGTATCTTGTGCTCAGACTCTGCTGTACCATTATGGATACTGTAAATATGAAACAGCTCAGTCAAGTCATCTGTCCTCATTGGGTAGAACTATACAATCAAATTTAACCTTTCAGTGTTCTCTGTTTAAAGTTGTTGGTTTCTTTTGTATTTAGAGTGTGTTATTGCTAGCCAAAAAAAAAAAAATAGGTCGGAGTTTGACTCTTGGGATGTACTTCTTCATTGGTTACAGGCCAAGTCGAGTCCAGTCTCGAGATTCAAAAGCACAATCCTGTATTTCTCATCAGTCTAGCTCTATGCACTTTTACGTTCAGTGGTTGATGTTTGTAATTAGCTTTTTTTTTTTTTGGTTGTTGTTTTTTCAGGTGATTAAAAATGTGGCAAAGTTTAAAATTGAAGTAAGGGATTTTTATGATATGGCGAATTCACAACATTTTGTATGAGATTCTCAACGATGTGACCCCTCCTTCTCTGAACCAGAACAAATTGCCTCAGACTGATGAGTTCACACGACTTTTCACATCTCACCCGACGTCTAACCGCCTGTAGAAATATCTGCATAGGTGAAAGTCAGACTGTGTCACTTTGACAAGTAGAAACAGCTCTTCAATTTAGATAGCAATAAATACGCTGCGTACTGTTTTCATTGGTAGCATTTGCTGACTGTTTGGTACCATTAGCAAATTTTTTGGCACATTTTACGGTTAAAGGCACATTAGTGAGTCTGTTTTCAGACTGTGGTGCACTGGTGTTACTGTTAGTACAGAGGTCAACAGTGGGGTTCTGGAAGTAAGAATCTCATTCATATTCTCCTCAGAGATTTTGATTATGAGATATCATAACCCAATAAGTATTATCCATCAAGGAAGGAAGAAGGATCAAATTGTTTTTTAGTTGTTTTGTTTTTTTTTTTTTTTTTTTTTTTTAAAGCTCTTTGATGGGGAAGCTGAGATTTGGGAGTTCTTTCACTCTTAAAAGTAACTATGTACAGTCAGTCTTTTACAGTGTTTTTTGAGCCACATCATCTTTTTACAGTTATATGGCTTGGTTCAAGGCTTAAAACTCTTCATATAAGGATTTCCTGAAACATCACTGGAGAAAATGAATGGGAATTCACTTCTGGAACCAGAGCCATTAAAATCATGGGCGACACTGTTGCGCTCGATAGCTTAGCATTTCTGCTAAATGCTCGACTGTTTAAAACTCTACTATTTGGCTAATTACTTTACATGGAGCCCATTAAAGGGAAAAAAATAAATTTGATAATATGTCATTAAGGCAGATTTTATAGAGTAACTAAGAATAACTTTGATACAGTTTTTCTTTCATAGGTTTGGGCATTAGCATATATAAAAGATATAACACACAAGATTACAATTAGCTAATGTTTGCAGGTCAGTTTTACAAAAAAGGTACCGTACTGATCAGTAGCTTTGCACTGGCACTAAATCACCATGAAGTTGAGGGATATTTGTTATTTGACCAAATTATTTGGAATTTTGGTGTTAAAAAATATAGTATGTAGCTTAGCATTTTAGCAACTAGTAAGATATGTACCAGTAACTAGCTTAATAGCATTAGCTATTCTGAATTAAGAAATAGCTCATGCTTTTTAGCAAAAAAACAAACAAACGTATTTTAGCAGTTTACCTGTAGCTGTTAAACTATGAAAGTCACATAGTCTCACTTTGAAGTTTACAATAGTTACACTGATACAACCTTGCCACATTTATCCCACCAGTACTTCTTAAACAGATACAAGTAGAAGAGGCATTGCAGTTTTTGGTTTATAATTCGACTCCTCATGTTTCAGTTTTGTTTTGTGTTGGTTTTTTGTTGTTGTTGTTTTGTTTTTTTTATGGTCTACTTTTATAAATCAGGAAACCATGAGGTCTCTCTTCACACACAGTTCAGCCAATCCGACTAAAGATGAATTGAAATATAAAGCTATAAATAAAGTAAGAGATGTTGTATGTTTTCTATTATCTTGTAGAAAATACTTTTGTAAGTATGTTGAAAGTATAAAGTATTTGCTGGATTCTGCTTCCTTTGACGACAGTGACAAAACAATAATGTACAGAGGAGTTTGTGTTGACAAAATGTGGCTGTGCAATTTATGTACATTTGCAACTAGACCTATTAAAGTTTTATTTAGCTATTTTAAAATCGTGTGCCTTTCTGTCTTTTGTCTCATCGCCTCACACGTGCTGGTATCCATCACACTTATTCTGCTTCTCTGATAGAATAAATGGAGCTTAGTTTGACAGTGTAACAGATGAATCACGTGTTCATTAAATACTCAGGCAGGCTGTGATAGATGACAAACAGCTAGAGAGAACATATGCTCAGTAGCAGGGTCCAAAGGCAAAGGCAGCTTTTTTTTGTGGAAGTACAGTTTAAGTAGTGTCTGTTTCGCTCAGCAAGTCTGACCTACATACTGCCTGATTGTCATTCCCCACATCGGGTAAAAAATTAAAACAGGCCTGAAGCTTGTAGCAATTTTGTTGAAATTCCTGTAAAGTGAGCTGAAAATTATATTTTTTTAAAAAACATCATAACTGTTCTAAGTGCAACAGAAAGAAAATAGAAATGTACTTTGAAAATATTCAAATTGTATTAGGTTTATTTGTAACAGCCAACCACACGAACTGGTGTGTTTTACAGGAAAGGCCTTCTTGTTCTCTGTGAAGCTCACTTATTTCTTTGCCCAAGTGGAACAAGTGTCTCCCTGCAGCAAAGGTACATGTTTAGCATGTCAGGCTTCTAAAAACTCTAAACTACAAAAAAAAGCATTATTACTACTAATAACTAGAGATGGCACGATACCACTTTTTTTTTATGTCCGATACCGATATGAATCCGATAGTGTTTTTTTTAATCAAAACGTTTTTTTAATATCTTGCTGCATTTTGTATAAGTTTATACCCAAGTTTAAATAAATAACAACACTAAAGCTATTCTGTTATACCTGTATGTAAAAAATACACTGTGTCCAAAATATGTCATAGTTCAGCAACACTGATCAATCTAATAAACTTAAACCTGCACCATCCTCCCTATTCTGGTATTTTAAAGAGTACTTAGCAGAAATATTAAGCAACCTAACTAATAGGGTTGCAAACTCCCAGCAAAAAAAAAAATAGGGAACCACCCCCCACCCTCCACCTCATGATGCTTAATCGATCTAATCAAATTTAATTTGATGCAGGGGGGAAAAATGTACAGAAATAAATTATTTTTCAAGAATAATTAAATAGATTCAACATCTTTCTTCAACAGAATTGCAGAATTCACAGATGGTACTTTCACAAAGGAAAAAGTACTATAGCTTACTAGGGTATATTAGACTTAACAGTTACTATATACAGTAATGGACTTCTATACATCAGATTAAAACTTTGGGTGTAAGATTCAGATAATTATTTATTAAAAGCTAGACATTTTAAATGAGAATAAGAAAGAAAAGTATGTCTTTGTGTCCCCTTTTCCCTGTTCATGCCCCATCGGCCCCCCTGGCTAAACTTTGCTAGATCCGCCCCTGCACAGTTACCAGCGTCAGCTACGCAGAAAATGATCCTGGTGTAGAAAGTAATGTTAAATAAATTCTAACAACAGCTTATCAAGGTTAAATGTGCTGCTGTTGTTCAGCCGCTGGTTTCCTCTTTCTGGTGCAAAATGGGCCAAAAACAAAGAAGAGAGACGGACTCACGACAAAAAAGCCGATCAGCTGATCATTGATCAGTTTCACTATTGAAGTAGCAGCAGGAGAGAGAGAGAGAGAGAAGAGGCAGTCGCTCCACATGTCTGTTGTTAAGCTTAACGTGGGAATGCTTTACAGACATTCAGAGATAATGTTATACACTTACTTTACTTCTCTCTGGGATCACTTTCTCTGAGATGAAATGCTGGTTTGGTAGCAAGGCTACAAATACACACAGCTGCTCTATCACGTGCTACAGTTATGAGCCGAGTTACGCTGTGTAGCAAGTTTTGTGAGGTCCTTTATTGATATTTAATGGATCGGATTACATTTTTTATTTCTCGCCGATATCCGATCCAGTAATTTGGGTCAGTATCGGACCGATACCGATAGGTAATATCGGATCGGTCCATCTACTAATGACTAGCCTTACCGGTGCCCAGTGGTCAGATTCAGGATTCAAAGATACCAAAAGTTGAAAAAACACAGTCACCTGCTTCAGATGAGATGGTTTCCCGTCCAATGCGGAGTGCATACATCATTTCCCCTTCAATCCAGTTTTGATCTAACTAAAATGCTTCATCAAAAAAAAAAAACCAGACACTTCCTGGATATTGCACAGTGGATCAAAATCTGCCCAGATTTTTCTGTATTCATAATAACTTTAATTTTGAAAATCACAGCTAGGAGCTGGTGGAAGATCCTGAATCCAGCAACCAGCTGGGGCTTTTCTGTGTGGAGTTCTCCCTGCGTCTGTGGGGTTCTCTCCAGATACCTGGCTCTTTGCCACAGTCCAAAGACATGCACATTGAGCTAAACTGGTGTCTTTCTGTGTTCCTCACAATCATCTGGCAACCTAACCATACCCTATGCTAATGGTTGGGATTTCCTAGCTAATTAGCGCAACATACTGAAAATTGCCAAAGATAATACAGTTTGACAGACTTAAAATAGTACTGTTTCACCAACAAAGTGATTCCCAAAGAGCTATTAGCTGAAAATGTGGCATTTTCCAGCATGGTGTGCACTGTGTCATTAAAAACTTGAGGAAGTACAAGACAAAAAGAAGTAAAAGAAGTAGCTAACCTTAAAAAAACAACAAACAAACAAAGCTCCAATTGATGCATCTGGTGTTAAGGAAAGGAAATGGAGAAAAGGCTGAAGTTGTGTGATTATTTGTGTTTCATATACCATTACTTCCATTTATATTTGAACATTTGAATAATACCCTGCATCGATTCTCAATTTGTCTAGCAAAATATAAAAAAAAATGAGGGGTGCCACAAGATTTTTGCACGGTACTGTATGTGACGAGCCTTTTCATTTTATAAACGAGAAACCCACAGGCTGGTCTTAACACAGAACAACAACTAACAAAGCAAGCACAGAGTGATGAACTTGAATTTAAAGATATAATTGTAGTGACACTCTTCCAATCTGTGCTTTTACACACACCAACTGGGGTCATGAGCAAGCGCTTCGGAGCACCGCTGGTTATTAGCAGCAGCGACAAAAGAACCGTGATGACTAAAGATGGCGGAGCTGCAGCATCAGCTGGCACTGGCAGCCTCTGCAACAGAAGGTCGGGGAAACATTGGCAGATGGCTGTGCTGCGAAACAGATCTGCCGTCTTAAGGCGAGTAAAAAGCGAGCCGTTTTTAAATTCATCCATCAGCCTCGTTGAAGACGGCGGCGTAAACAACTCAGAGTGCCAACCCCGGTGCCATTATGTGCGACAAATGGTGCCCTTTAATGAGCTCACAGGTGAATTCGCTCATAGGTGCTATAACAATAGCGCACACACGAGTCGTACATTAATATCAGGTCGTTATCACGGCCGCACGAACCCACACATCTCCAGTTCAAAGAGCAAAATGTGTTTATTTCGTTTGATAGTGTTATCAATACATGTCATTCATGTTATGTGCCAGTGTTTAATAACTCATACATCTACTTCACATCATGAATACAGTAAATAAGTTAGCCCTACAGTATGTGTAGCAGAAATCTCTTAAATATTTAGTTCAGTCTGTTTTCCACAAGCTGCCACACTGCACTTCTTTCATTGGTTTAGTAATTTTAGCATAAAAGAAAAAGACAAGCGAGCTTCCAGCAGCAGCTGCCATGTTACTCTGGAATTATGAGGCATTCGGTTTTCTAACCAAATCTCATTTAAGAATCTGTGAAACATTTTCGCCATGCAATTATTTCTAGACATCTACGTCCAATGGCAGTTGTGTGGCTACATTGTAAAGAACATAATGGCTGGAGGTCTTGCGGCTGCCTGACTGGAATAGCTGCTTGAACTGAAAGAGGATAAGTGGCCGCGCGGCCCTTTTTCCCTTTGAATACTTATTCACTTAACTCGTCGCTAATGGGCTCGTGGAAGGCGCACAGCTGAGCCGCTCACTGTCAACAGGCTTTCGCCGCTAAGCTAAATGCAAATAAATACAGCGGTGACCACACACGCGCACACACACAAGTTCAAACAGTGAGCGCACAAATGCCCAGTCACGTCCATTTCTGTGCAAAAGTAATATAGCTGAAATATTTGCTGTGCAAATTCAAGAACATAATACACTGAGGATTCTCCCTTTTCCTTATTTTATGTGTGATGTGTGGAGCGTCTAATGTTATCCCTGAAAAGAAAGTTTGTTTTACCATAAGGGTTACCAGACAAATGTGAAAGGGAGGCATATAGCTGCCTTCTAGAATCAGTAAGTCAATTAAAAGCAGCCATTTCCTCCTCCTGACCGGATCGTGTTCTTCATATATGATCCTACCGGGAGGATGGGAGGAAATGCACCGACCTCCTTATATCTTCTTCCATTTCCATTCCAACAACCCCCTGCGGGCATCTTCCTCCTCTGAAGAAAAAGCAATCAGTAAGAGAACAGTGCTCCTGCGAGTCAGCCAGCAGGGCATCGGCTTGTCCTTCTCTGGGGCTGCAGAGGAGGGGTGGACACCTAACTCCTCTGCTCCTGTGGAGAATGTTGGATGACTAGTTCCCTCTCATCAGTTCTCCACATTTGCTCTGAGCGAGCGTGGCTTGAATCTTTGATGCCGGTAGTCCTGGCTGGCCGCCCTTCGGAGGGGAGCCGGAGAGCTGAGCTGAGGGTTGGCGAGGCACGGCGCCTGAGTTTTGACGGTTCGCGGCAGCGCCCTGCTGCAGCTCAGAGAGCGCCTCTCCTCGACGCCCGACTGAGGCCCGAGCTGAGACTCGCACAGCTCCAGCAGTGACACTACCTGCTCCCTCAGTGCCAGGGATTTGAACCTGCGAGCTGCCAAGTAGAAAAAGGCTTCGACGAACGCCTGCAAGCCCATCCCTGTGAAGCAGAAGGCCAGGTTCATTAAGTCAGTAATTTCATACTGCTACTAGGTGATAAACTAGCAATTCTAACACAAAGAAGAGCTTGACATTTCCCTAAAGAACCTTAGCAGCTTTATGAAGATCAAAGCATTTTTT